ATTTTGTTTGCTGAAGTGAGCAAAGAAGTTGTTGATTTTTTCTTCTCTTTGCTGTCTTTGCATGTTGGAACTGTCATTAGGCTCCTCTCTGGGGATGGCATGGTTGGTTGCTTAGGCAAGCTCTACGCAAGCCTTGAAAATCTTAGCTACACATACTTGCAACCTAATCTCAACAAGAACACCCTGCTCAGGCCCAAGTCAGCTGTTGCTGGAGCTAATATCTTCCATTTGTTGACCAACAATAAATCTGATTCAGAAGCTAAGAAATTTTACTACTGTGATTGCAATCACCCATCATCCTCTTCCCATTCGTACCATGTGACCGAAAACAGCAGCACGCGGTATGTGTCGGATGACGTTGGAGCCCTTTGTCCAAAATGCGGAAGAACAATGTCCAAGCAGATGACTTACGTTGCTCCACCAACAGCAACGTCTACACGAGATACAATTTTGTCAAGCGAGGGAGGGTATGTGAAAGGTGTTGTTACATATATGATCATGGATGATTTGGAAGTGCAGCCTATGTCTACCATTTCAAGCATTGCCATGCTTAACAAGTTCAATGTGAAGGATGTTGGAGCCCTTGAAGAGAGGGTGGTTCAGCTTGGCCTGCAAGAGGTTTGATCATTTGAATATGCTTCTCTCATTTCATCTTATAATTTGCTCAAAGAAAGCACCAATGCTAAAATGCATAATTCTAACTTGTTTTTGTGCTTTCTTCATTAGGGTTTGAAATTGCTCAAGGCATCTTTAGAGTCAAAAACAGTCCTCACTGATGTGTTCCTTGGGATGAAGTCGGCAGCATGAACATTTTGGAGCCACTCTGAACTTTTTGTTATTCTGAAGCGAGATGTGTTTTGTTATGCAATAATGCATTTAATGTCTTCATATCTACATGTTGAGGGTTTTTCTTCTGTCTTCATCTATTGTACCTTTTTATTTAACAATAATCCAGTGAAGCTCGATGGTTGTTTGTTTGATGGTCAAAATAAATTATGGAAGAAGCCCAAAATGGAAGCTCACAACAAAAAAAAAAAAAAAAGAGTGTTGCAGAAAAAATCTTAAACCAACACAAGGAGTTCGAAAAGGCAAAGCCTAGTTTCAAAGAAATGAATGACAAATATTAATCGTTTTTCCATGGTTTTCATCATCAACGTCAACCATTAATTTGAAAAAATAAATACCAGTAGTAGTTTAATTTGCTAACCCTCCGCCTTCCTGGTCAATGTGAATCATGATCATCCTTCAGTTCCGATCAATGGGGGTTTAATCTCCATTGATCATGTGATTCTTCAGCTTCGATATGAATGAATTTAAAAGCTATAAATTGTTAGGTCTTTCTAAGGCTTAGAAATATGCATATGCCTATTTGTCTTCAATATTTGCATCAATGGCACACTCCAAGAGCACTAGCGTGACACTGAAGCTTCTTGTCCGCACAAAGGGTCGCAAGGTTCTGTTTGCTAAAGCGACCAAGGAAGTTGTGGATTTTCTTTTCAACCTTCTGTCTTTGCCTGTCGGCACCGTGGTTAGGCTCCTCTCCAAGAACTGCTTGTTTACAATGCACACATTATTATTCTATCTCCACTCCAGTAAATTTATGTTTCTCTGACGCAAGCACCTTGTAGCACTGTTGAAACGTCCAGCAAGGGAGGGTATGCGAAACCAAAGGCAGCAGTTGCTGGTTCCAATATCCTTCTTTCTCTGACCAACGACGTTGACTCGAATGCAAAACAGTTCTACATTTGTACAAACTGCGTTCGCTGTATTTCCGATGTGTCTGGAACCGTTTGCCCAAGTTGCAGGTATGCCATGTCCACTCAGGTGATTTATGTTTGCCCACAAGCTTCTTCTACTGTGGCGGCAACATCCGGCGAGGGAGGGTATGTCAAGGGCGTAGTGACATACATGATCATGGATACCTTGGAGGTGAAGCCAATGTCCGCCATTTAAAGTATTGTCATGCTGAACCAGTTCAATGTGAAGGAGGTTGGTGCTCTTGAGGAGAAGGTGGTTGATCTTGGCATGGATGAGGTCTGAAATATTCCTTCTACATTTCCCATTTTTCTATGTACATTATACATAATTTTGTCTTGTCAATTTTACTCTACCATATAATCGGGCAACTTAGGTTCTTTCTTTTGAATTGTCTTACCGAGAAAAACATATCAAGTGGGCCCCGAGTTGGGCCCATTGAATCCGTTATTTTGCTTTTTCAGTCAAGCTCAAGCCCAACATTGAGGTCCAGAAAAGGACGCAAGGGCAGTAAATAAAATACAAATTTATAAATAAACCCAATACTAGACATGTATTTATAAAAAAACTCAAGCACTATTTAAACATAGAAACGCACCCAAAATCAACCCCAAAGTCAACTTTTTGGGTGTGTTTATAAATGGGTTTTGAGTGTGTGTAATGATGAGTTTTGGGTGTGTTTATATGTTTAAATAGTGCTTGGGTTTTTTTATAATTTCAACCCCCATTTTGGGTGTTTTAGTGAAACTCCCTTAATAAAAACAGAGCACCGACTTACAGAGCACATATATTTTCATCTTCTCCACTCCAGAGAACCCTACTCTACGTCTACCGTCTACGCCTAAAAAGCTGCACTTGGGTCTCCTCTTGGTAACTCTTAGAAAACTCTCTCTCCATCTCTGAATTTTCTCATGTTTTTGTTTGTTTGGAAAAAATATGTAATGTGTGGACCAAACTTTTTTTTTGAAATTAGGCTCTGTAGTGAAAAAATATATATTACACTGATTTCTTCAACTGAATTTGTATATGTAGGCAGGCTCTGAAATGAGGTTTTGTTTTCTTCTTATTTTTTATTTATTTTTGTGTTGAAGGTCCATGCAAAGTATTCGGAAGATTATATTTTGAGTTAAATTTTCCAGTTTCTAAATAGAAAAAGTGGGAATATATATTTATGATTATTCGTTTTTGATACTTTTTTCTTTAGTTTTATTATATATAAAAATAATATGATTGCTGTTTTTCCTGCTAAAGCCTTAAAGGTGCCTCCTTTAACCTACTTATAGCAATGGCTCTGCTTATTTACTCACTTATTTTATTACAGTTCCCTAATTTCTCTATAAGGCCTGTTGGTCCCAATTCCCCTTGTAACTGCATCAATGGCAACCAACACTGTAAGCTTGAAGCTCTTGATTGACACAAAGGGCCACAAGGTTCTGTTTGCTGAAGCAGGCAAGGACTTTGTGGATTTCCTTTTCACGCTGCTGGCTTTGCCTGTTGGAACTGTGATTAGGCTCCTCTCTGAGGATAACATGGTGGGCAGCTTAGGCAAGCTTTATGATAGTCTTGAACTTCTTAATGACACATATAACCTAATCTCAACAAGGACACATTGCTGAAACCCAAGGCACCAATTGGTGGTGCTAATGTCCCTCATCTGTTGACCAATGATGAATCATTGGCTAAAAAGGTCTACATGTGTGGGAGCTACCACCGCTTTATAGCTGACGATCCTAGAGCCATTTGCCCAGAGTGCAAATATACTCTCTCTACCGAGGTGCCTTATGTTGCAGCACAGGCTATCACCGAAGGATCATCTGGTGGTGGTGGTGGTGGTGGAGGGTATGTGAAAGATGTTGTTACGTACATGATAATGGATAATTTGGAAGTGAAGCCTATGTCTACCATATCGTGTATAGCTATGTTGAACAGGTTCAATGTTAAGGAGGTTGGTACCCTTGAAGAGAGGATGGTTCTTCTGGGCATGGATGAGGTGTGCATTCCTAAACTTCTCTCAACATTTTGAACTGTGAATATATGTGTGCATCTTGAATATGCAAAATATATATGCACATCAATTACAAACCCCACTTTTTATTCTTTTCTTAATTGATTCAAGTTGGGAAGGATAGGATAGATACACTTTTTATGCTTTGATTTCTACTCTACACACTCGATCAATAGACGATACAACCATCACACATTATCATGTAGGCTTTTAATCAAAGCTAATTTGTCACAGTTCATCTGCTATTATATTCTTTTGTTTTTTGGTTTTGGTTGGAGGAATTGTTATTTTGTTCAAAATGATCATTTTCTTTTCATTAATTTTTTAGGGTCTGAAATTGCTCAAGGCATCATTGGAGTCTAACGCAGTTCTTACCGGTGTCTTCCTTGGGAAGAAAGAGGAGTAAACATGTCAACTTTAAGCCTGATCAATTCTGGAAATGGAATTTTGGAGCTAGTTTGACTGTTGTGTGTCTGACTTCGGACTAGGGATTCATAAAGAGTGTCTTACACTGTTATT